AAACAAGATAAATCTTATTTATTTTAATAATTATTTAACTTTACTTATTTTTATTTAAAAATTTATCCTAGGACGTATGTGTTCACCAGAGAGAGAGAGAGAGAGAGAGAGAGAGAGAAGAAAAGTGGGAAATCAATCAAGCTACCAGGTTCAGGTGCTGAACTGTGGTCAGTCATGTAGCAATCCAGTGTCTCAACCACTATACCACCTGCTGGCCCAAGACATATCTTTTAAAATCCATTGTATTCATGTACTGAGAAACCACATTGTATAGTCACAAATATGTACAATTATTGTATGTCAATATTAAAAAAACAAAAACAAACAAAAAAACACCTCAAATCTGACCGTGAGACCTCCATGCTTATATTTAATGGCTTTCTACTTATATGAAATGAAATGACCATCTTTGGACGGCCCTTCGACAACTGGCCCCTCTCAAGTCTGTGGACTCCTTTGATTCTAGTTGCCTTCTTTCTTCCTATCCTGCAGTTATGCTCAGTTTCATTTGAATCTTTCTTATCCCAGGGCTTTCCATGAACTTTTCTCCTTTCCGTCTTCTTTTTTTTTCATCTGGGAGGATCCTTTCCATAAGATCCATCCTATTTTCCCTCCAGATTGGCTAATCCATTCATCTTTAATACCTGTTTTACTGTCATATTCTCAGAGAAGTGAGGCTTGGTTTTCTTTTGTAGTCCTTATCACAATTATAATACATTATTTATTTATTAATGTTGGTGCTTTCTGTCTCAACTCAAACCTGTCCCCTACAACTGCCAAACTGTAAAATCCACGAGGGCAGCAGTCTTATCTGTTTTATTTTGAGTCTATGCAGCATCTACAAGCCCCAGCACACGACTGTTAGAGGATGAAGTGAACGTATAGTGGTCCCAAACTGAGCAGGAACTTTGAGCCTGAAAAAAGCAAGCAAGCAAGCAAATCCATGGAGCAATTAATGGGAGCTTACTGGGGGATAACTCTCGGTAGGGAGGGTCAGGCAGACAATGGCCTAGAAGGATTTGCAGCCCGTACATGGTATATGTCCAACATGCATGTGTGGAGTGATAGACTGAAAGACTAAATGGGAGTTCATTCCAAATTTAGCCTTCTGTTTATCCCAATAGTCCAGAGAGCAATGCGACTGAAATGAGCTTTTACTCAAATAACTGATAAAACAGCAATTAAAAATTCTTGGGCCACCCTAATGGCATGGTAGTTAAGATAGCTGGATCCCACAGAGCTGACTGTGTGTGGCTTGAGTCCCAGACCTGGTGTTTTGAAACACCTGCTAGGTACATGTGCATGTATGCTTAAAAACTGAAATAGAGGGAGAAATGGAGCAGCAGTTGTGGCGTGACTATCCTCCATGGGAGGCACCTTCTCATTTCTCTCTCTCTCTAGTGAGCACACACACTCTCTGGCAAAAAAAAAAAAAAAAAAATGACTAAAGTTTCTTTAGAAGAGGGCACCTTAACAACCGCCCACATTCCCGTCTACATTTATATGCTGATTTGTCCTGTGTCCAAGTTTGTTTGGAAAAAATGAATTAAAGAACACAAAGTGTTGTAAACGACTTTCATGAAGTACGTACCTCTTTAGGCAGAAAGCCCAACTATGAATCTTATTTGGATTTTAAATTTTAGTAATTTTCTTAAAATTTTGAATGAAATACTAAAATTAGAAATGAGGAAAATAAAGGCAAATTTTGGCTGTACTCTGAAATACCAGAGCATGCTATTTAAGAGCTCAGTACCTCTTCCTATGACAGTCTTGACTAACTGCCATAATCAATTTGTTAGATCCTTCAACTTGGCTGTACACATCCTTTATTTTTTTTTAAAGAATTATTTTATTTAACTTTATTATTATTATCATTGTTATTTTCCAGTTTGATCAGAGAGAGAGAGAGGAAGTGAGAAAGCAAGCCACCAGGTCTGAGACTTGAACCATGGTTGGCCATGTGGGAGTCCAGCGCCCTTAACCACCATGCACTTGCCAGCCCCCACATCCTTTGGTTGTATAAAGAATGAGGAAAAGCTTTCTCTAAATAAAGTATCTAATTTATTTCATAGCTCTACTTGTAGTGGACAGACACACTACAGAGGATGGTAGGGGACTGAAATGTCACTTTTTTGCCACAGTGGGCATGACTGCTGCTAATCATGTTAGAACAAGCATCTTGTGTTCTTCCTACAATGAAAAAGCAGGTGGTAAAGCTGAGGTTGGCAGGTGACACATGAATGGACAAGTGTGGTTTCCACATATTCACTGTGCTAAATGTGTTCTGATTTTAATGCTCTCATTTGCCAGATACTGATTCCCATCATGCGACTCTAATTATGCTACAATGTTCTTGACCTGCGTTACCTTCACAGGGATGTCCTCTTCCTGGCTTGATTTCTCTGAGGTGAAGACATATGAGATTTCTTTGTGAGATGTGGTTTGGCGGCAGATGGCACACTTAATGGAGCTTCTGTGAGACCCCACGCTGTATTGTTCGATAATAATAGCAATACATTCATTGCAGAAACAGTGCCCACAGGTCAGTACTGCCCACTAAAAAGAAAACACAGCACAAGTCTCGGTGAGTTGCTATCAGTGATGCCTTCTAACCTATAAACATATTAAAAAGAAGAGAAGGAAACTTGCTATTTTACTTTCCTAATATTTCATGATGCTAATATTCCTTAAGTCATAAAAATCAAATTATGCTTTTAATTATTTTTAATTCAGAGCAATCTTTCATAGTGTTTCATTCTGGTCATCCCAATAGTGGGCACGACAGTCAGTCAGTCCTTATTACTTTGTAGGAAGGTGGTATTTTCATTTCAGCATTTAGGGAAAACGCAAATCAGCAGACAGAGGGGTTGAGAACAATAATAATTTGAGGACAATATAATCAATATCTTCTACTTAGTTAGTTATTTCAACAGATATACTTTTACATGCTAAAACATTACTTATAAAATGAGATGAGCTAGTATATCAGATCTATTTTAGAAGTGGTTCTGTATTTATTTAAAAAGTTCAAAACAAAATGGTACTTTTGAGAAAACCCTTGCCCAATTTAAGAAAAAGTAAAATAATCCTTCTTGCATCTCTGGAACATATCACAGACATTCACTTTGTTTGGCAATGGAATGTAAAAGAAGAATAGATTTAGTCTAGGGTTCAGTTCTAAAAGTTGACGTATTATGCAAACTAATTAATCTTTCTCATCTGGCAAAAACAACAAAGATACAGTGGTGTCATGAAGAGACAAAACTTCTAAGTCTTAAGCTATGTTTTTTTCTAGGATTTGGATATATATAAAGTTGTAGAGAAAGAAAATGTGATTGGGCCCACCCAAGGTGCTTTGCAGAATGAAACAAAAAGTTCCTTGGAAAAAAACTCAAGGGAAGAGAAAGCTGAGGTATAGGTTTGTTTTAAAACAATTTTGAGAAAGAAGGGGCTTTGGATTTAATTGGCTAATACCATTCATACTGTTCTCTACTAGACTTCTGATTCCAAGGACTTATGACAGAATCCTCAGGAGCTGAGGCTGTAACAGCACTGAAGAGCTATTTCACTAGCATTTTCACATGACAGAGAGCAGTGCTATTCTGTACCGTATGGTCTTCTAGTGACGTTGGGGATAAAGGTTAACTCCCCTCTAAAAGAGGGCATTTTTGAGACTCATGGGACCTCAGTATAGACAAAATGAACAGCAATCAGGTCCACCTACATCTGCAATGGAGAGGGAAACATTGACACTTGAGCATTAGGTGTGAAAGGATGCTGATTAAAGTAGTCCAAAGAGAAGAACAAATGGCTATGCCTACAAAGGGCAATGGCCAGCACATGCGAGTTATCTCCTATAGAATCCAATTTAATAGACCTAAACTAGAAGAGCATAATTGTAAAGCAAAATGGAAAGGAAATAGAGAACAATAAATAGAGTTTGGAAAGTACAGTTTTGTTACTATTACTGAACTGAACATGTTCTAAGTGTAGGAGACCTAGGTTATGCTAAAACTAAAGTAACATATATAAAAGAATTTAAAAAATTCAAAATGTTTATAACAAAATGTCTGAAAAAATCCAGTTGTACGAATCTCATTAAAACTAACAGCAAAAAGACAATAGTTCATGCCATGATCCTCTCATATTTTCATTGCACCATTTTCACCAGAGACTTTTGTCAGAGTCACCAATATTTTTACAATATTCTTTTGCTCAGTTTTCAATGTAATGTAAGGTACATACTTTTTGATATTTCACCTACATAAATCTTGAAAACTAAAAGGCTTTTTTTCCCTAATTGCAGCTGGTCAGAATATGGAACACGTACATTTACCTTTCTACACTTAGTTCCATTAAAAAAAAAAAAAAAAAAAAAAAAAAAAAAAAAAAAACGACGAAGACAACTTACTCCATTTAGTTGTAATAAGCTTACCTTTCAAATTCTGTAAAGCAATTGATATTCTGATAATGTATATACGGATCATATACAGGAATTTATAATTTCATAAATCATAGTTGAAAAGATAAAAATGTACATCTCTTAGAGGAGAACTAATACCATCTTTTTATAGACATTTTATAGACATTTGAATATTAATATAAAAAATAAATACACTCAATATGATGGTCTTCTCAAATTAACATCTACATTCCCCTAGGAAAGACATTATTTGTATTTTAAAGCCTAATATTAGGAGACATTAACAATGCTAAGTAAGAGCTATGTTGTTATATCTTTGTAAAAGTTCCTTAAGTCAATCTATGTGTGCTGTATTACATTTCTGCACAATTAACAAATAACTGTCAAATTTCTTGGATACTATGTATCTTTAATGCAAAGGATGAAGTCATTCTAGAAATATTGTTTCACTTGTCACTTAAGAAAAACATGTATGTGTATATACACATGTAGCTGTAAACATGGCATATATCATAACATGAAAAACACACATACCTGCAACCCTAAGAATATCACCTAACCTCTGTCCCTGGAGGTAATATTTTGCTTTAATTCAAAGTTGTCATGAGAGAGAGAGAGAGAGAGAGAGACTGTATGTCTTAAAGATGGTAAGGGGTTTCATAAATTCATGTGATGTTTATTGTAATTTTACCTGTTTTCCCAACTGTCGTGCACAGATTGGACAAGGTTCTGGATTAATACCTCCTGATGTTTTGTCTTGAGACTATTAAAAAAAAAATTAAAAAAACATGTTACATTTAAAACTGCATACATATTTTGCAACTCATTTACGGAAGCAAATGCTGGCAATCACAATTTAAATAACCTAATAACGGGACCAGCACCTGGACCTGGTGACTTAAACTCATGCTGGGCACGTGTGCGTGCATGCCCATGATCCCAAGAGGAAAATGGAAGAGTAGGGATTGCGGCATGGCCATCCCCCCTGGGGGGTGATTTCTTGCTTTCTGTCTCTCTGTCTCTCTCTGTCTATCTGGCGAGTACATGTGCCCTATAGCAAAAACCTCTCTCTAAAAAAAAGAATAACCTAATAACTAATGTATTAGCTAATACTATGATTTTTGGAGCTTATAATTAACATTTATCCAAGGAGAAACAATCATAGAAATAATTTTTATTATATTTTAAATACATATACTGTATTTGTGATTGTAGTAGAAGGTAAAATAAAAAGCAAAATTCCAGCTAAATTTTCAAAATTTTATTTTCAGGCTAGATTTTGTTATAAAGAAATATTGATTATTTTTCTAAAATATTTAGACTTTTGACTAAAGGCTCCTTAAAAATTGAGAAAAACCTGCACTTATTCTCTAAGTCTACTTGACATAGGATCATAGACACGGGAAGAAGCAGCATTTATTTATGTAATACTGGCTTCTTTACAAATTTCACTGAGACAAATAACTGGAAAGCAGAAATGTTACTGATATAAGAACTCTCTATGCCTGGAAAGCATTTCAAATATAGCAGCTTTTCAAAATCTCCTTAAAATTGTTACAACAATTGGAAAAACTTCAAGTCATAAAATGAACAAGTTTACAACTGGGGAAAATAAGGAAAGTAAATAAGCCTGGAAGACTACTGAAGTTTTTGTCTGTGGTTACATTAACCAAATAGTTTAAAAATTAAAAGCTATTTTCATTGTGTATATGATCTATGGGAAAGGCTGAGCAGAGGGTTCTGCTCCTCAAGAAAGTTACTTTACGCATCTTCACATAGTCTAAGTTCCAAAAAGTAATAACTCGAATACGCATGGACGTTTCAGGTCTCTGTGCCAGAAGGTGAAAAACAAGTTATCTGACCAAGGCAACCGACCTGAGTCAGTATGGGAGGAGACTGTTTTTAGGCATGTTTACAGGGAGGGGCAATATTGTAGCACTCTGTAAATAGTGATTTACAACTCTACTTTTCTAACATGTTTAAAGAAAGAGTTGGTACTTTTTCCATAATGAGCCAGAATATAAATATTTTAGACTTTGTGGGCCATACAGACTGTTTCAATTAATCAACTCTGCTACTGGAGTGCAAATGTTGCCATAGACAATAAGTAAGTGAGTGTGACTATATTCCAATAAAAGTTTGCTTATAAAAACAGGTGGTGGGCCAGATTTGTGCCATATATAGTAGTTTGCAGATCCCTGATTAAAAGCTTTAAATTTTCCTCCAAATACGCCTTACCTACATTGTCACATATTTTTAATTCCATTCAGTTCAGAATATTTTCTAATTTCCATTGTGACTTCTTTGATTCATAGGTAATACTCCAAACGTGTGAGTATTTATCTAGTCATGCTTTCAGTAATGATTCATAGTTTACTTCCTCAGAAAAGTTGTCCTTGTATAATTTTAATCTTTCAAAAATTTTAAGAGGGGTCCAGCAGCTGGCATAGTGGTTAAGGTGCTAGACTCCCACATGGCCAGAGGTGGTTTGAGACCCAGACCTGGTGGCTGAAAAATCACACAAGGCATATGTGTGAACATGACCAGAATGGCAGGAGGAGAAAGGAAGAAAAGGGATTAAGGCGTGGCCATTCCACCCAGGAGATGATTTCTCACTTTCCCTCTCACTGTCTCTCTTTGTCTCTCTCCAGTGAGCATAAGCACCCTGTGGCCTAAACCTAAAAAAAGAAAAAAAGAAAAAAATTTGTCACTTTAATCAGCACCAGATTTATTTTGGTAAATATTCTATGCACACCTAAAAAATGAATGTTTTACATTTGTTGGATATAGTCTGCCTCATTCAGATCATGTTTGTTCAGAATGTTCAGATGTTTCATTTCTTTATGGATTTTTTTGTACAGTTCTCCAAAGTATGGAAGAATCATATAATCATTTACCTGTGCTAACTGACCTCTTTTTTGCTGTTGTCATGTATTTTATTTCTATATGTTATAACCTATACAACAGTACTGCTGCTTTGAACAGTCAATATTCTTTTA